AAGGAAACAAATAGACATTGATGGTTGTTTTAATCAGCGGGGTTCAGGTGCGGGAGTTTTGAAAGCACTGTTTGTGGCACCAGCTATACTGACCTTTAAACTGAATCATTTTCTCAAGACAAACACTCGCTGGATTGGAAAATTTCGCGTCACTCCTTGTCACTTTTTTGTTCATCATGAAATTTATTTTGAAATTTATGTTCAAACCTTACTTTTATCCGACTGTAAAATGTCGTTCATTAATCAAAGTTGCTTTCGCAGATGACCAGTGACATTTGAATACAGTAACTGGTCATAATGTCATACGTTTGTTTATATATGACTGTGAGTTTTCGCCTAGAAATTTCGATGAAAGGCACCAAATGAACTCGTGTCCACGAACCGACCAGCGAAAATGGTTAACGTTTTGGCTACGATGTTGGACTGCTTACGTAGCATCACAGGAAATTGTCTTCAGATCTGTGACTTGCGCAGTAGAATTTAAAGTCCCGCTTTGTTGAGTGGGTCTAGTAAAAGGTGGTCCCAGAAACTGGAATAGGTAATACTAGAATTGAATTATCTGATCATAGTGTATTTCGTCCACCCTTAATGAGATGTAGCAGGTTCAAGGAATATGACATACATCAACATGGAAGAAGCAATTCTTGGACATTAGAGCTGTGGAACAAAGGAGTCCAGGGGCTAATTGAAAGACTGGGCGGACAATGGACCTAACTTTGAGCCGTAGAGAATCTAGCTGAGTTCCTATAGAACTCGTTCGCTGCCAGTATACTGTCAATTTCACTGAAATAGAAGGCGCACTGACCAGCTTGATGACTAGATTACCATCGGCAATCCCAACCACTTTAGTAGTCTTTTACATTTCCATCCTGACAAAAATCGCTCAATGATATCCGCGTTCTGTAGGGTTAGGTAGGTTGGTGGTTAGTTATTCGGCCGAGTTGTATGTCGTCACAACTTGGAAACTGCCTTTTTGCTACTTGAATGGAGACATAATCTGATTACTATTACGATTTTGGGGCACAACCCCAGCTTGAGTTCAAGGATAGGAATGGTGCTCTTGATGTCTCTGTGTCACCTGAGGGCACTCCTGACACGACTCCTGGTAATCTATTTCGAATGTGCTTTCTTGCGCAACCGTTAATTAGTCCATCAGGGAAACTCTGGGTCCGAGAGTGCAGTTAAGAGGTAATTGATAGATGATAACTGGTAGATAAGCGAGGACTAGTAGCCTTTAAACTAAACAGATGCAATAATTTGAAGAAAGCATTCCTGAGTCTTAGTTCCTATGTACCAACATACACAAATTTGACATTATCTTCAGTACAGTCGTTGTCTATGCTCCTGAAATTACGACCGACGCGGGGTTCACCGGCACGTTTCGTCGATTGCCACCCTTTTTAAACTATATTTGATAAGCACCCATGCCCCATCGGACGTTTATTGATGTAAAGTTAACTAATACGAAGGCGATACTATATGATATTAGGGGGACCTGTGTTCCTATCGAAGACCGATCCTAACCGAATCTGATCTGATACTGGGACACAAAGTCGGTCTGGCATTCCAGCTACCTTCAGCGTCATGAATGTTGTCGTCCATCATTCACCCTAATGGGGTTCCAAATTTAGGAACATCTTCAGTGGGGGATATGAGCCGATGTAGGACCTCCATATTGACTTCTCATGACGCACTAAGTGTTGATATATGCTCCAAATACGCTTGGGTTTGTTCATCACAACCTCGGATTCAGAGAGGAAGTTGTAAGCCAAAACAAGGTGGAGATATCTGGGCACCTCATAACTAAATGGGAGAGAGAGTTAAACTGTATGTTAAACAGAAATCAACCATGTTTAAGCTTCTGCCTTCCAAATCCAGCTCAAATGACTTGAGCATCGTAGTCTATTCAAAGCAAACGGATATATCAATCACTACTCACGGATAACTACATTACGCAGTAAGTTCTTCAACACGCTGAGCACAGCTCAAAAATCAAAATGGAAAGCCAGCCTTTTGATGTTTGCGACAGTTACCTAGCCTGCTTGGTGACGTGCTGTTGTATCGTGGGTGGCCGTCTATGGGTTACGCCTGTGCCGAGCCTGCCAGATTACGGGATAGGAAGAAGACAGAGAACTGGGGACACGGCTGTATTGCCAGGACGAAACATACAGAGCGTCTGCGTAAATATATAGGATGACTAAATGGCCAAATATGGTCGCTCACTCGTTCGCTCCGAACAGCCAGTGGTGATATTCCGGCCGTGAACACTTTCAGGCCCACTACGCTGGTCGTATGTTGCTAAACCGTGTTTGGTGAGAGCCGCCGACTCACCTGCTTTCCGGACGTGTCGAACCGATGGTGACCTTGGGGATGGGTCACTCTGTGCACATGTGCTTTTTCTTTCTGTCTAGGGCGCCCTGACACGTGCACAGAACACCATCGTGGTGGTAACTTGCTGAGACAATAGCGGAGATGAGGTTTTTCACACAACTAGCAGTTTGGAAACTACCATGTGCATCCCGAATGAGATTAGTGTGTTGATCCGTCTTCAGATTGGAATATCAACACCCGTATGAACAGAATTCACTTCCGGTGATCATCGTCATATGAACCGAATCAAGTCAAACTCTGTCTAAGTACAGGATGCCGTCATACAGACCAGTTTGTTGGCTAGAAGCTTTATCTGGCTCGCCAACTGAGGCTCTGGATTGGATTGCCCAGCTGACTTCTCGTTTTTGATTGCTACCTCTGATTTATTATGTAAATAGCTTGTTGTACTGCATTAAAACGCTTTTAAATTTTTTTCTTTGGCTGTTGGTAGTGCAAATGCCTCTGATAATCGACTTCAACGTCCTCGACGCTCCAGAGTATTAAGGGTACCGGGACGACGTATAGCAGCGAGTAGTCATATATATATATATCCACCAGACCAACACCTTTCGCACATACAGTTGGTCTCAGCTGCTAAGTTGTCGTCGGTCTACTTCACCCAGATTCTCACCGGTTTAGCATGTTGATGGCTTTAGAAAATGATTCATCCCGTCCACACTCCAGTCGTACTCCAAAGCATTTAATCTTGGTAGATGACATGGGGTCTGGTGCTCATTCGGCTCAGAGAAAAACCGAAATGGGCTTGAAGGTCAACTACCGTAGTTTGATGTCAGGACGACTAGGTACGACAAAAAGCACCTAGCGGTAATGACACAAACAGCCGAGTCTGATGACTACTGTACAGGCTCAGAGTTTAGACACCAGTGTAAGTCTCATCTATGGAGAAGCAATGATACGTATAACCCTGAATAAACCGTCTGTTGCGGGTGGCAAGTTCAACCAGACTGCCATTCTTCGTTGTGAAATAATGCTAGTGATCATGCTTTTGGCTGTCTATAACGAAGCCAAACCCAGACCTGTGAATCATCATCGGTTTGAAATCAAAAGGACAAGTATGAAGTGGAGGGAAGTAGGCACATTTCCGCCATGGTCGTTAGATTGTCTAGGCACGTCTTATCCCCAAGTGAGACTTCTTGGGATGGGGGAGGAGAAAATAAATGAGTCCTTCTTGGTAGTGCTCTCTTCTGGGAAGTGTGCTGGTAAATTTTACCCCAAAAGGCCAAAGAAATGAAGGATATTCTGAAGACTGACATCCATGGGCAGTGGCAGTCCTCTAGGGAACACAATGATCATGGTCCAAACACAATTGCAAGTGGCTCAGTCAAGTTTATTTTATTTCGAACACTGAAAACTGTGTACGTGAGTTCAGATCGCCGAGGCATTCGACAGACAACTGAGTGGGATGAGGGGTGCGCTAGATTCATAAACCAAGACAACAAGAGGAATAATTGGACAGTAACTCGTAGTTATTGTGGCGGGGTTCAGATACTGAGCCTTGCATACGACCTCCAGCAACGTTTTGCTTGCTTCACCTTTGAGTCTTGCCTTACTCACTTCGTGATATCTTACATTTGGAACCTGGTTCAGCAAACAGGACATGGCGAGGATACCGGCGTGGTTGGTGCAGCCGAATCAAATTATAGATCTAGCAAGTAGTTGGTATAGTTCCGAAGATTCTGTCACCGTTCGACATGGCTTGCCATATTTTTCATGTTGCTTGAGAAATCTCTTGAGAGAGCTACTCGGCATACATGAGAAATCTTCCTTTGTCCCTAACACAGCGGTCAGGACACCCCGCTGCGTTGGCTGGTGCCAGGGTTACCCTGGAGGTATGTAAGCTAAGAGAAAGCAGAGGGTGCTTTGGGCATTCTTATGTTCACACTATAGCGTTCAGTGACTCACTATTTGTAATGTCTCTCTCGGCACTACACACCTAGCCTCACAGTATCGAGTAGTGATATCATGGTAACGCAGCATCGCGTATGCATCACTGATGAGTTACGGTAAGAACGAAGCGACTGTTCACTACGTTGTAAACAACCGCTAGTTGGAGTCCGGGAACATCATTATATTAATGAGATGTTTAACTGGGTTAGAAAAAAACTAAGCACTTCCAAACACCGTGAGTCTTTTCATTCACACTTACGTTATGCAGATACATTCGCTGACGGTTCTACGGTTTTGTTTGAAGATTAGGAGATCGATAATGAGTAGCTTTAATGAATCTCTTGTTCACAATAACTGGGTGGACTGAATAAATGCCGCATCATGTGAAACAATATCCAAATTATTAAAGCAACCTTGACAAGACTACGCAGAAGGTTAAGGTGAATTATCTGACAGCCCACCATCTGTTTCACGCACTTTGGGAATCATCGGATGAGCCGAGTTCCCAAATTTCTGTCAGTTTTGTATCGTACTTTAGTGTTTAAACGGACGCAAAAGTTTATCTGCCAACTAAGATACTGTGGCGTAAGGTGAGCTAAATCTTGTGTTAAGTATTGTGTCAATCAGCATACTGTTTATATGGAGCTGACTGGCGTAACAACCCAATTTCCATTGTGGAATCAGGCAGTAAAACCTCCACTAACATAAATTCACTGACGTACCCAGAAGCTGGAGCCGGCGTCGCGGAAACCAAAGAGGTCGTATGGCCGTTGTCTCCGTTGGACAAGCCTTGGGAAAATAAAGAGATGAGAAAAATGCGCTTAGCGTTGGTCATGGCAACAAAGGAAAATTACTAACAAGGCACGAGTCTTTTGGGGGTACATTCTACGTCAAAAACCCCGGTGCACATGGTTATTGCCGCTAACCAGGTCAGAAAATGCAGCTACGCTGATAACAACACATAACGGAAGGTGATTAGTATGGGGCGTTAGCGACGGTTGTTTATTGCCGCAGAACAAAAGGGAGTGTCGCCAGGACCACGCTGCCCTCTTGTCATATAGAACTAAAGGGTTCGCAGTGTCCTTTTCCGATAAATGTTTTCAAACTCCCTGTGCACCGTGATGATGTTCTCAAGAAAATCGATTGCAAGCCGACTGCCGAGCTCGGCGAACAGATCAAGCATCCCAATTTGGTAGTAGGATAATCTTGATTTCTCTGTAAGAATGGAACAACCTATCATTGTGCAACTTTCCACATTTTTGTATGATGCTATCATCGAAAGACGGGGATAGCTCTCCTGCCTAACCCACCGTTTTCCGCATTCAGACGCTGAATAAGTTGAGACCGTTCATATCCCCATTAGAGATAAACAGGGGCATAGAAACATCTATCTACAGCATTTTTGTCGCACTTTTTGTCAGACCCACGGTGCACTCACTGTCCCAAAGCACTGGGTCGGAAAGTTTTTCAGTGTATGACACTGGGGTTTGGGTTGTTATAGGGGAGGGTCACATGACGGAACAGTGATGTGGTCTAGCTAATGAAAAAGCACTGCGAGGAACTGAATTCGTTCGAATGCAACTCCTCCAAAAGCCTTAAATAGCTACGATTCAATCACTTGGCAAACTCGTGGTGTGCTTAGTGGCGGACTGTGCATAAGTTACACCATCTTGAGCAAGTTTCAGGATCAGTCAACTGTCATTTCTGACTGATGCAACTTATTCCTCGCAAACTTGATCATCTGTTGCTCATTATCCATGACAGATTTTCTGAGTCTGAAAGGTTTCGATCGCAATTTGGAAGGCAGTAGCACAAACCACTGCCAGAAGGGTTTAGGAATTATCCATTCAGGTTTCATAGAGTGACTGTTTTGTCGTACAGTAAGCTTAGTGTTCAGAACTGCGTATTTCCGTAACAACTAGCTGCGCCGAAAATGATGAAGTCCGTTGAAAACAACAATAAAGGCTAATCTAGTCAGGCTATCCTAACTTTGATAAAAATAAGGTAAAAACCGGTATTACGGACGATAAAAATGAGACGTCTATCAGTACCGGAGGGAACGTTGAATTAAACTTGGGCAAGTGGATGCTCTAACAGTGAACTTTGCACCAAATTTTGTGCAATTTGGTTCAATAGAACATAAGGTTGACGGAAACTCGGGGACTATGCCTACCTGATGAGCCCCAAGAAGCGCGAAACCGGTTGGGGGCTATCGAATGAATTTTCAGCAACCTTATGAGTAGTGCATTAACTCATTTAGTCATTGACGGCGGGGACGAGCGTACTACAACAGGCTTGCCGTCGTAGGGTACAGTTTAGTGGCGACACCGAAGGTAAATCTGCAGTCATCCTTGGGAGAACAGGGCACACAAAGTTCAACCTGGAAAATTGCCAGAATGCTTGATTTTGATTCTAACTAGTTTACATGCCGACGTTTTAAGTTTCTTTCACACCGGCCGAACGGGTCGAGTTTACCAATTATCTTTATGAAGACTTGCGTGTGAGGTATTGGCGCAATAGCTCCAGAACTGAGTATACTTTTCCAACGGGTTACACCAATTTTTAAGTCTGGTGGGAAGGACAGATATCACTTGGGGAAAAGAGAGGCTCTGTTTCCGTAATATAGAAAGCCAACGTAGAATCGATTTCCAGACAATGACCTCTGTGTTCCCCTAGAATGGTCCTTAAAGGAAATGGTAACTGTAGTTTAAAGTATGTAACTGCTTGCGTGTCTCCGATCAGATTTTCCTGTGGGAAAGGAATACTGCATTTTCTGTATCCCAGTTGTGGCCATATGGGAATTTTTTCCACCAGTGCGTCTGTCAGCAGGAACACCCCGCGAAGATCGATGTAACACGCTGTCGTGGTGCTATTTGATAATTATATTTCTTCCACGCCAACCCATCCACTTTTCACGTATTAGAAATCTGCGCCAGCGAACAGCAAAAAAAGTATTTAGTAATGGACTCACGTGAATAAAATGCCAGCGTGGAGTCCCGACTAGGCTTGACGGTTTGAGGGGAACTCACTCCATTGGATAACACTGCTGAGGGCTGTTGAGCTTCAGCGGGATTATCCCAATACTGCCGATTGCTTCGTGGTGTGACATTCGTGTATGGAAGTGGTGGAGAAGACCGATATGTGTGGTTGTAGCACTGAAATGGTTTTTGTACCGCGATATTGCGGCATTGTCTCCTTGTCGTTTCACTTCTCGGTTCTCGAATCATCTGAGGGCTGGACACAAAAATCTTGATATCAGTTTCCAAATGACAAAAGCCATGATCATCAAAGTTTCAAATAACGAGCGATCCGTTCAGCGATAGTACCTTGGAACTTCATCGTCATCACTGGCAGAAGCACTAGATCAAAACACGGATGTTCAACGGAGATTTTGTCCTGTACTTGAAGCTAGTCTAATTTGACAAGTTAAAAAGCATTGTGCAACTGTTTCATTCTTATTGAGAATCATCAATAGTGCGCATCCAACGAAACTCCGGAAAGATCCGAACCCACGAGCCATTGTGCAATCATTCTTATTGAGAATCATCAATAGTGCGCATCCAACGAAACTCCGGAAAGATCCGAACCCACGAGCTCCCGGTGATTGGTTTGAATACCTAACTTTTCGGCCACCAGAAGCTTTATAATTGAGTAATTCATGGTTGGGATACTTCTGGGGAGCCCACACCCAGGTCGCAGGATTTGTAGTATCGTTAGCCAAGGTATATGACTCAAAAGCCTAACCACAAGGTAGCGACGATTTGCGTAAGACCGTCGGATTAGCAGCCTACATTTGTAAGGAGCAAGCCAAAACGCGTTCTAATCCCCAACCTGGAGGATTAGGCGCCTGTGTTGGTATGGGTTAGGGGGTGCGCAAACCGTCATAGCGCGGTAAGTCCAAGCACCTTCGTGGTGGTCACTCGGAACACAACAACATAGCCCCCTGTTTGGAGAACAAACGTTAAGAAGCCTTGGAAATATATGTTGCGACTGCAGCGGGCATGGTGAAACAAAAGTGCCGCGGGTCTCAGTAGCAGTGAATTGCCCCATAGACGAACCGCACGACCAAAAGAAATGTTCGCTGGATAAAATGGCGATACCGGCTCAGAACAGTAACCAAGAATTACTACCACTACTAAAAATGTGTAAAGTAAGACAAAGGGCCATCCGTAAAACAAAAACTATGCCAAACAGCCCGTAAAAACACAAAACAAGACTGAATTGTACTTTTTACGAGAAACTAGTTAAATGTGCAAATATTTTTGAGTAGACCTGGGGGATTTGTTCGACTGAGACCAGAATTATTCTAAACAGGGCGGTTAAGAGGAAAAAGAAGAAAAAAGTTCTTGCCGAGCAAGATTGCAGTAGGTCATATGATCTCTATCGAGGGCGCCGTTGTGGGAAGAATGCTACAGATTTTCTTCGAGTCCCAGTTTACAGCGATGTGAGGCGTAGCAGGAGAGCAGAACTCGGAAGTTCAAAAATTTAAGAACAGTGACAGATTGGTTTTGCTAATCAAGGAAAAACGCTAGCCTTGGTTGAAAATAAACCAAGGTTTGGTCACTCAAATGTTCACTACCGTAGATAAGCGCCTGCCCTGACGTTCTTCCTCATATTACACCGGCTTGTGAGTACCTTTCGAAACTTGTTATACAATCGAGTTTGAAGAATTTAACCACTCGACATGGTTAGCCGCTGTTATGAATTAGTGCCTGCTAAATAGTTCCCATCATATTATCGAAATGTGAAGTGCTAGGGCATTTCATCCAAGGCAGATGAGACTCCTTTCCCGCAGAGTTTGACTCCGCTTTTAGGGACGAGATCTGAAATTCAAAATTTGAAATATCTTTACCGCATAACTCAGGAGGATTTGGCAATTGTTCATAAGAAGGGTTGTTTGTCAAACCAGCGAATTAATATTCTCACCTCTGTCTCATTTTTAGGATTATCCTTCCGTCTACCAGTCCTCCGAGAATGAACCTAACAATATCGTCGACTCGGTTTCTCCTATGTACTTGTTAGTTTTTTTTAAATTTCCTGTGAAAATGATTGACCAGCTATGGCGTGGATTGATCATAAGGAAGCAGGAGAGCATCGTTATGCCGCTATGCGCTCACTAAGTAGAGTGATTTTTATAAAGGAAACTACTCACAAGGTTGCTGAAAATTCTTCGACACCCCACCGCCGGTTTCGCCCTTCTCGGGGCTCATCAGGTAGGCGCAGTCGCCTAGTTTCCGTCAACCTTATGTCCTATTTGAACCCAAATTGGACTATTTTCAAGAAGTACACTCATTTGCAAATCGATTTGGTTTTCACGAGAGACTCAACTGAAAATATACTGCGATATCTCGAATATCGTGCCAACTGAAACATGAGGCGGCCTGCGTGCAGCACATTCAGTTGTAGAATATCATAAACGAGAGAGTCTCCCGCGAGAAACAGAGTGATTTTTAGTTTCCTGATGTGCTTTCTGATTTGGCTTTACTTCGGGGTTGGGACAATCAGAATAGTTCAAATCTACCGAAAACCAAATCAAATTTCATCAAGCAACACCAAGTCCGTGAATTGAGGCACAGTCCTAAAATGATAAGGCGCGGTTTAGTCGACAGCCTTTGCCAGTATGTGAGGGCTGAAATCGGATGGAACAATGCTGTTCTGCCAAACACCTTCCAGTGACTCACAGTCTGCACCGCATACGAACGTTGGCTGCAACGAGAGTTGGCATTAAGTGTGCTGCTGCTGCTGACGATGTAAGGGTGTGATGGGTTTAACGTAAGCATATTTTCCATATCTAAAGACGACGCGTAGACTAGAAGACCATGCGTACGCACTCCTGACATTTTCGATTCGTGAGAAGATGAAGTATGATGAAATGCGTCTACAAAGCGGCCTGTCTGTACTGTTCACGTCTAGACAAGTGACCAGTGAAGCAGCGTCTGACGTTAGCAGATGAATGAAGTAGCCAAACCATTCATACATAAGTTGGTCAAACATCGGTACGTACGATCACGTGAGCATTCAACTATACTTATGAACTTCATTCGACCTTTTCACACATCGGTCGTCACAAACGGGCAGGTTCTCCCAGCTTGAATATTTCAACTCCCTTACATGAATTTCCTAATTCCTGTCAAGATATACCCCTCCGAAGAAAGATCACTCTCCTGAAGAGGTCCTTTTGGCGAAAATTTAACATAAAAGCAGTTCAAACAGACGACCTCCAGGAAATTCGAAAATCATTTTAGTTCGTTGCCTATCCTTCAATGACTACTGCGTTAAACGGGAGCAGGTTAAACATGCACGTTCTGCAAGGAGGTTCATTATTCTAACCCCATGGGAGAGGACATCAAAGCATGTTGGCTGGTGTGACAAGGCAGCTGCGGAACAGGTTAAGCATGCAAGCACATGTCTCGCCAGACGTTAGCGCCTCTTTGTAAGTCGCTTCCAAATGGACACAACTGAGTCAGTTGTCTCCGAGTAATACACGATTTATATCCCGCATGCCAACTGAGTTTGGATAGCTGGTTTGTGAAGAAGCGAGAAAGGAATATGACCCCTCAGTTTTGGATTGTTCACCAAGACGGAGTGGCATAAACACAACCCGAAACAACCAAGATTTATCCCTTCGAAGAAAACAACAATTCCGTATGGTGAGACCAAATTAAGCTCAGATGCGTCCTACTATTGGCTGAAAACGACCAGTTCGAGAATGATCTGTGCATTTATCGATCGAAATCCATGTTAATGGACAAGGTGTCAGACGGGTGAAAATTCCATCATGATCGTTGTCTTTCACGGCCTTCAACAAAACTACACTTATTCCTGTCAACTGGTTACAGCGTATTCCATGGAATATCTCGATAAAATTCTTAGAATGACCCAGTATTGATTTTGAAGTCTACGAATGACTGACATCGGATTGAAGTGTCCTAGAAGGGGGTCGAATTCTGGCATGAATCCCAACGGGCCGGATTCCTCATCTAGCTTCAATGCAGCAGATTGTCACCGAGGAAATTCGACCCACGAGGATTCATCCTACGGACTGTGTTGAGGCGTCTTTTAGGAAACATCCAGATATATTGAAATCAAGACAAATTCTTGGAGCACTCGCTGCACTTTAAACTCAAAAGTTTTAGAAGAATCGCTGAATGCGCCGATGATTGCTAATACTTTGGAGGGCTCACCGACGCATGCTGTCTGTTTCGCATTCAGCGGACTGATTCTGACAGTTAGTCACGTTATCCGTCTCTGAAATCCGCAGTGAAGCGTACTAGGATACGTGTAGTTTCATCTTCCGGGGTACCATAACAGCAGACCTGGAGCTAATCGTCACGATTCGGTATCATCTGAGACTTTGGCCCGTTTTTCCGAGTTTTGCTCCTGGTTAGATGACGCAAGAAGGTCTAGTGTCGGTTATTTTTTCCTGGTTAGAGCAAGAAGGTCTAGTGTCGGTTATTTTTTATTTGTATAAATAATTACCTGCAGCGGTTTTCGGTTTACTTGAAAGCAGTCAGTCTATCGGCTTTTTTTCATTGACTGAAGTTTGCAGCTAGCAGGTGGGTGGATATATGGGTGATGCCAATAGGATTCACTAAGATAAACTGAGTTTAAGGTTAGACTTTTTCTCAAAAGGGTAAGAACAACGTAATAGGAAAGCAGCGTCGTTAAAAATAACTCGTTACATATATTCGTTACATAAAGTTCCGTAGAATGACTGTTCCCAATACACTACTTTTTTATGAAGGGTCTGCAGTTAGATCGTAAGTTAGACACTGGAAGTCACATAAAAGTGTGCGCTAGATCAGCCCTCAGACCAAAACAGTTGTCTTGTTTTATTCGATTGATACAGTAATCCTGTGTGTAACTGATCTGTGAGGTTTCCATGGTAAAACGTAGAACTGAAAAAAAGAACTGGCAACAGCAAAGATCAAGTTTGCGGACCAATATAAACATGTGTGTGTGTGTGTGAAGAGGTTAAAGAGCCTTTTTGTTGTGGCGAGATAAATGAAGGAACTATTGTGGATAAAATCGGAAGCCACGCCGTACAGAACTGTGCGATTATATCTCTTTCCTCATAGAGACCACCCATGGGCAAAGCTGTTTAGCGTTTTTCTCAAGGCTAGTCATCACATAGGAATAATTCGACGGGTATCGCCTGGGATATAAGCTTAGATGTTAACCAAACCTATCTAAAATCGTATAGAGTTTGGTTAGTAGTCACAGACTTTAGATTAGCCAGAAATGTATTTGCAAGTGGAAACCAGGTAATCAATCCCTTTTTAAAAAAAGGTTTGGTTCACAGAAATCTAAATCACCTGGTACCCCGTTTTTCGCAATCTACGTACGCTAACCGTTTTCGTCCGCAGAAATAAAAACTCATACAGTGGGGAACAGTTTGCGCGAGGTGCGCCGAATGAAAAGATTTTGCTGCTCACTGAAGTTTTACGAGTATATAGCTGTTTGAACATCCCATATCATGTAGCAAGCTGGATCCGCAAGAGGTTTTCTGACAAAAAAACGCTACTCTTCTGAAATTCTCACATGTCCATGACGTTACGTTAGAATAGCTCTGCAGCGCGACTGCAGTACTGCTAACTGATCCGCCAACCTGTTGTATCTGACTACTGACCCGCTCCACTGCCTAATGCCAGAAAAAAGACTCACGGAAGGGAATACAACAGCTATATTCTGAACAGGCGAGTGCGAGAGTTTGAGTGCGTGCGAGTGCGAATGTACAACGGTCTCAAGCTATTTATTGGAGGGACACTGCCTGAACTCGGTCCAATGCTGGCGCACACGGTCTGGCTTTGGTACGAGACTGCGACGCGCTGCAAATTGCGGGGGGGGGCGTTGTCTGACCTTGATCAACGCTGACTCTCGCACTGTCTGGGTTTGGTACAATGCTGTTGCTGCACATTTAGGGGGCATTGTCTGTCTGGTCAACATCTAGCGGAGCTGAGAGTCTCGGTAGATTTCAGGCATTCAGTGGCTGCTTTCAGGAATCTCGCCTTCCTGATAGAAGCATTCTTAGGACGCAGGTTGTGGGACAACTAATTAAACGGATTTATCTGTTGGTAAAAGCTCAGTTCATCGGACATGTGTGACATGTGTGGTTGGTGAAAGGAACTAGAGTCCCGCGAGGGGATCGTCAAATTATTACGCAGAATTCAGACTGCTATTGATTTATTCAATGATCGGGTCACATTAGTTGAGAGTGGGTAGAATCGCCCGTCTCCCTGGACCGCTCCCTGGGTTTCGGGATAATTAATTACAAGGATACTCACAGTTTTCAAAGGGAAACGTTGTTTCACCACGTCGGCCTGTGTGTCACATAGGTTCAGTGTTGGACAAACAGAAGACTCTTTCATAAAGGAAACTACTCACAAGGGTGCTGAAAACGCTTCGACAGCCCACTATCGGTTTCGTCCTTTTTGGGGCTCGTCAAGCATCGAATATCGTGCCAACTGAAACATGAGGCGGCCTGTGTGCAGCACATTCAGTTGTAGAATATCATAAACCAGAGATTCAACTGAGTTTCTCGTGAAAACCAAATTGATTTGCAAATGAGTGTATTTCTCGAAAACAGAAGACCCGTTTTGTCGAACTACGAAACTCTAACATGAGGCGGCCTGTGTGCAGCACATTCAGTTGTAGAATATCATAAACCAGAGATTCAACTGAGTTTCTCGTGAAAAACCAAATTGTTTGCAAATGAGTGTATTTCTCGAAAACAGAAGACCCGTTTTGTCGAACTACGAAACTCTCACCGATTACACCAGATTATCGGGCCACAATCAAGCATAGTTAAACATTTCCTCGCGGTGGGAAGAAGCAGTATGCTTTATTACTTACCCCGTTTGTCTGGGATCCGATGGCATGTTTGTGGCGTTGGAGCAATATGTTGCCGGCAACACAACAGCTGAAAAACGGGAAATGGGTTGGGTTTCCCTCGACTGCTGTGCGTTTGGAGAGACCAACGTAGGGTTACAATGGGGATGACCGATTTCCACACCGGCGACGTACTGGGTGGGTAGAGACAGAAATGAAGGTGGCAAGTTTTAAAAAAAGTGATCCAACAAAGCTCAGGTTGGGCGATCAGTAGGCTACCAGTCAAATAAAAGAACGGGTTTCGTTTGTTTTACTTTTTGGATACAATCTCCTCTAGGAAAGTTCTCCGGAACTTGCTGCCCTGTACATCAGTAAAGTGTAGATGGTGGGAGAAAGACTGACTGAGACTCATACTGGTAACGTATTTTAGAAGTCACGAATTAGGGCGATGAGCCAATCAGTCTTGATAGATCAGAAAGTGAACAATACTTTCCGTCCTTCGTTGAAAAATCGTCAGAAAATGAAGATCTTTCGGAAGAAAATGGATTCAACCAAATTCAAGCATCTACAAAGTATGAATGACAAAATGCGAAATCAAGGATCAGATATCTATGTCTGAATTCTCGGTATACTGAGAATGGTTCCAGAACTGCACAGGACATGTTGAACACCGAATACGAAATAGTGAGAGCAATTCAAATCTGAGGTCGGCAGGTCTGGATACAACGTAGAATACGGAATTAATATAGTATCGAATTGGAAACCAGGGCGAAAGTTATACGGTTGGCGCGGGTCCGTCAACAGTGACAGGTCCAATAGAGGCCCATGCATTTGTAAGGCAACCCAAGCGGTTGCGTGGGCTCTACCGCGTATGAGTCTGAGCATTCGAGAGGCGAATGACAGTGGTGAACAAACAGGTAAAAATAGGGGTTGTGATCAGGGGCAAGTCAGAGTTTACTGTAAAATAATGCACCGATGATCAAAAAATCGCTCGTTATATGGGCATAGAAATAAGTCGTTACATTACATCAGCCTGTAATCTATGATATAAACCTCTCAAAACTTCTCGTTAGTTAAAGACTTCTAAGAAATGTGTTCCGTTCGTTCTGATAAGAACAACCAAAGAAATTGTGCACACACGGCTACATTACTTTCGATCCTAAAGTGGAAATAACAAACGCAAATCGTTCACTAATATACAATTTGCTTCGTGGATTAGGCTGTGGTTCACAGGGCCCCACACAGGATACGGTCATCTCTAGAATCGATCGCTCGCGGTTATCCTATTGAGTACGGTATGTAAACATGTGTGCACATATGTATGTACCAATATATGTGTATATATGAGATGGCCCATCCCCGCACTTTACACAATTCACCATGAAACTATGAAAACAGATCCAAATATTAGCCTAGCACTTTTTTTCTGCCTAGAGGACCAACCCATATGTTGTGCCAGCTGGCCGAAAACACCCGAAGGTATTGGCCCCCGGGACCGTAGAGTTTCAACCTCCTAGTTTTATAGGCAACATCAGATCTATAGATATAGACCTATAGATATACACTCATTTGCAAACTAATTTGGTTTTTCGAGAGACACACCTGGCACCCAGCTGAATCTCCCATTTGTGATGTTCTCAGGCAGCTGAATATGCTGAGTCTCCCGAAGAACCAAATTAGTTTGCAAATGAATGTGTATTAGCTAATCTCGTGCAATTTAGTTTCAAGTAGAACATAAGGTTGACGGAAAACCGGGGGCTGCGCCTACCCGATGAGCCCCAAAAAGGGCGAAACCGGTTGTGGGCTGTAGACGGATATTCAGCAACCTTATGAGTAGTACATTACAAAGAGCCTATAATTAGTCTTCGCCTTGTCTCTTGTGGAGTTGACATGTAAATATCACTTGCAACATAAAGAAGACGTCCAAAAGTTTGAAGCAACTGGAAAGGATTGGCCACTCAAATGCAGTGCCACAATACGGTCACCAATGAACTTGAACATGGTAGATAAAAAAGTACACTGTGACCGTGAGTGAGACAATTCACTAGGGAACAGAGCAGTAACAGACTGGTGCTCAGTACACCTTTGAGAGCAGTCTGGTCCCACTGTTTATGAAGAAAACTCCTCCATGACTTACCATTCTCAAGAAAGCACAAAATAATGATGAATCTAGGGAAAGTTCGCGAATAGCTGTGTGAATAGGTCACAGGATTGCGGCGTGTCTCCCGCCGACGTTACGTGTACAGTGGAAAACCTGGATAGTTTGCATTCACAAGGACAGGAATTGATCCTTCTAAATTGAATAGCTTCCACCTTTTGGAAGGCCTATTCCTCCTCGAACCACCCTTTGCGGTTTGCTGATGCCGTCCTAGATGAATTCCCCCTAGTATTCGGACTACCACACACGAAGGAATATCGAAATCATTTGTTCCGCTATCCACAGCATGAAGTTCCAAATTTAGTTTGTTAGTTTAGTGGACAAATCTCCACTCATTATCATGCTCGGGATGTCTCCAACGTTCTCAGACCAATTACCAGCAGGCAATCACCGACTGTTCTTACACAAGTGAAAGACCATAAATCTATCCTCAAACGTTTGGGTTTGCACCCGACGGGTCTAAACCAACCTTTCCCATAGAACTTACCGAAGGTTTCAGGACATGTGATCTACCGCTTTATTGCTTTTCTCACCTAACCAAGATTTAGTTTTTTTCACGGTACTTGAAGCCCGCACCGTTTTCCTAACGAACGGAACCTACAGGCGTGTACCATATTCGCGGGAACAGTCATTTCCATTTTCTTATCTGCGAAGAAAAAGCACCCCCAGAAAGTCCTAGCCCATGCGCAAAACATTGAGTTTTACCCAAACTGATTTGTAGTGAAAAGGGTTGAAGTATGTATATTTGTCAATTTTATGGTCAAATACATATGCTTGGGATTTGGGAGAGTTTGGTTTGCCTTTACGAGTAGAGTAGAATACGAAAGAAATCAGTCCTTCGTTTATCTTGACAACAACCCGGGGTACTGGGGTAGTTGTTTGGAACAGAAAAGCGAACCAATTACATTACACAGGTTAGCGTGGTTGGAGCAAGCTGAGGCAAGCTGTTTTCAATGGAAAAATTGATCATGTATCTCGTCGTGGTTCTGTTGAATGTGTGCAACAGAAAGTGCTGTTTACGGTTGGGCTCTGAACCGGGACTCTTTTTGTGATGTCATCCGCTCTCATAGATTGTTGTTGTGGGACTTGCTCGCCCTTCTTTTACTTTTTTTTTTACTTTTCACAAGCCGCCGATTTCTGTTTGTGTTGAATCTAACTTGACCTTGTGATAATTCCCCCATTCATTGGCTGACTCCGCCTATGTACTTTTGATCTCCAGTTGTTTTGCTTATTCGTACCCGCCACTCACCTTGCCGCAGAGGCTGGCCTTTGCAACACTTGTGTATTGACACGTGTGTCTGTGTGTGAATGTGTGCCGCTGACCTACTTACCCATGTGCGTTCATGTCCCGTTTGCTGAGCCTGCCTTGACTTTGTAATGTACTACTCGTAAGGTTGCTGAAAATCCGCCGACAGCCCACGACCGGTTTCGCCCTTTTTGGGACTCAACGGGTAGGCGTATTCCCCGGATTTCCGTCAACCTTATGTTTTGCTTGAAACCAATTTGCACGGAACTCGCCAATATACACTCATTTGCAAACTAATTTGGTTTTTCAAGAGACTCACCTAGAACCCAGCTGAATCTCTCGTTTGTGCTGTTCTCAGGCAACTGAATGTGCAAATTTGTTAGGAACATTTGCAGATTCCCGGTCTCGTTTGAGGCTTGCTCAGTCGATAGTGTGTCTGCTACAAAGCTTTGAGTGACTCCTTCAGACATGTACTATTTTCGCATGATGATAGATAGCAATGGATAACTGTGGTGAGCCATGGCTCTGAGACTCGAAAGGCCTACGGTTTTCCATAAACCTTTTATCCATCCAGTTAATTGCTTAAATGAACCGAATGTACCGCGAGGGGACGAAGACTCGACCTATTAGAAACAAACTGGCCACAAGAGCAATGGTACTTTTTCCCCAGTCTGTTCAATGGTATGAGATGCCTCTGGTCCAAACCTGCGAAGAACTCTTTGTATTAAGTGATAAATGAAGGTGAATACTTTGGTAGTGGGTGTAAGTGATCTCATACGTTTTATATTTACAAATATCAGTTCTAACCACTTAGTCATGTGCTCATTTATATGGATAGAAGACTGCCGCAAGTAGCTTAAGTGGCCCAAGTATGGTGCAAAAGACGATCTCCGTTACAACCTGTTGTTGATTGTGATAGAACACTCTCAGTTCTCACAAATGTGTTGTTAGTCAACAATCGTCCCAACAGATCCGACAAACGCATATATGTGTGGTAAAGATGCAGTAGGATTCTAAGCCATCAGTCACGTGAGTCATCATCATCATCATCGACAGCGTGACATCAGTGTTCAACACCGATGCTTCACTGCCGTCACGTGAGGCCATCCCCTTGTGATGGATCCTGTCATTATGAGCAAAAAGGCCTCCTACGCTAAGTATTTCAGAATCCGGTCACAGTACTGGTGATACTGATCGGTACTATGCATCTTACGGGGGAATTTTCACCGAGTACCCAGAAGAGTCTTCATCAGGAATTCTTCATGAATGAAATCAGTTGGACAAAGTCACCGAACCAACAGTTACTATAGTTGGAAGCATTTCAAGACCGGTAGAATCTGTCACCAGCCTTGTGGAAGCACAGTTTCGTAAATCCTTTCGTTTACTTGCAAAAAAATAGTAGAATGGCAAGCGAAAAAGTAGCGAAGGTGAGTTCTTCTGGAAAATGATTTTTCCGTCTTTCAGCGGCCCATCCATTGAGTGAGACTACATTTTCGGTTTTCATCGTTTTTTGTGCTTTCCCAAGGAGTGAATGCAAGAACCACATATGGGAGAAATTGCCATGCTATTCCTCTCACAGAACGGGATGTTCTACCGGCCAGGCTTCAGGTGTAACTGCCTGATGTCCCGGTTATGAACTTGGACTTCAGCGATGCCTTAATACGTATCCTCCGAATGAGCAAGCAATCGAAGACTGTCAGTTCTTAGTTCCTCAATCGTTGATGTATTGGAACTACACGTAATGAACGAGTGTGAAACAATGTGAAGGAAAGGAGAATGAAGCCGGCCCT